TCTATTATAGAAACTCTCTCTGTCAGTTTAGCTGCTTTTTCTATCAGATCTTCTTTAGGTTTAACAGTCACAGAATTCAAACCAGAATTCGAATTCCTGTTTTGCAGACTAGCTATCAATTCTTGGGTAGTTTTAACTTTGGAATTTCCTCTCGATACTGATACTGCTAGTTTGCTGGTGAATGAACTTTCAGCATCGTCTACAAGATTTCTATGGTTCTTGGAGCCTTTTTTTCTGCCTCTTTTCTTAGGCATTTGTTGGTCTAAAGGCGGGTCTTGTTTTTCAGGCATACTTGAATTTGAGTCTGAATTGATAATGATCACATCTCGTTTTGGTTCTGTTTTGACTGTATTTATCACATCTTTAAAACTAGAGTTGGAATTATCAGAAAAATCCAACTCTGATATACCACCATTCAGTTTTACTCTTTTGGCATTTATATTGTCTAGGGAATCTTTAGCTGGCCTCTTTTTGGCTTTCACTTGATTCAAGTTCACATCTTCATGGTGCAAAGGCAAATTTGAAGGTACAATTGCAGTTTGTTGTAGAGGTGGACTCTGCTTCAACTGACCATTTGTTTCAGGTAAAACAGTGTTTCTCCACTTTTTCAATAACTCTTTTGCTCTTTTGGATAAAGAGTCATTTGTAGTTTTACGTCTTAATTCATTTATGTACTTTCCCAATCTGGTGGTCTAAACAGAAAATTGAAAATTAAGTTTTTCTTCAGAAAAAGTTTGCATGTGTGGACCCCCTTACTGCTTGTCAAAATAGCCAGAATGAATTTCCCTGATTACTAAATTATTTTTCAATGGCTAAAGTTCATTAAGAGGGGAATTTCAGATGGGCAGTTTGGTGTACAAGTGATGGGAATTTAAAAGGAATCAAGGGAATTCAATCTTCACTATTCAATGAAAATTAGAAGATAATTGTCAGAATTTGAGGGGAATTGTGGGAATTCAAGAGGAAATGTGAGAATATTATGAATTGTGGGAATTTAATCTGGAAATTAATGGGAATTGGTGCACAAAAGCAACATTGGTGAAATGCCCCTCCAATTTAGCTAAAGATGGAGAAAAATCAATGAAACAAAGTGGCAGGTAGGAGTAGAGTATACTTATCTGGGTGAGATGCTGTTCATTTACCAAAAACTTGACCAACAATGATATTTTGATATGGTTTTATATAAAAATATTAATAGTATTATGGAGACATAGATAGATACATTGCTTGAAATACAGTTTTCAATAACAAAAACCAAATCCTCAACAGCCAACAGGGAGTCCACACTTACACTTGTACAATTCTTCAAGACTCAAATTTTGTATAGCCTTGCAAACTACAGTTCAATGACATCCCCAAAATTGTAGATTGATAATCTCTCAAGCAGTATTATTGTGATCAACCACATTTTATGCATGCATATTATGGTCCCAATGAATAAAGATGCACTGATAACAAGGAGTTGGAACGAAAATAAAAATGAAATCTTACCTCCAGTAACTCTTTGGTAATAGCCACTTTTTCCAGTGAGGATATGATTTCAACAACAGCAGGCATATCGACGACCTTAAAATGAATTTGACATCAGAAAAAAATCTTGCATTCCTTTGGGAACACCCAACACCCTGTGAGGTAAACTGTACTGGATACATCTTTGTTGAAATTATGTCAGTCATGTATAAAATGAACACTAATAGGTATTCAGGGGTGAATAATGAATTAATTAAAGAATTCCTGCTTCAATGGAGTAATAAAAATCTCCATGGAGCAATATTAATGGAATATTCAACACCGTCTTCTTATGTAAAACAAGCACTTTTGACGTTGCGAAATTGCAACCAGTTTCGTGAATGATTTCACAATAGTAACCCAAAAATTTGGAACAAAATTTCATTCGGAAATAATAAATCAGCCGACCATTATAGAATATTAACATTTATTTAAGTCACTCTAGGGATAACGAATACAGTACAGTCCACCTGGTTCATTGGATCGTAATGGTGTTCACCAATTTCACGAATAAAACCAGAAATCCTTATTTTCCTTACATTATAATTATTGTCCAGTGAGTGTAGCAGTTTCTGTGTTAATTCTGTTACGTTATTCTGCATTTAAAGTCGGTTTGTAACGTGAAAACCGAATATACTTTGATAGAACTGTTCGTAGCTCTTCTCGACAGCAATGGCGCACATACATTGCGCTTTGTGCAGTTCTCAGGTCCGCACTGTGAAACGAGAAACATGGAGCACCCGAAACGACTGAGAGGGGATCGGCCGAACGAATCCCGACGAGATCTGCGCGTGTCTCTGTGATTTTTACGTCATCAACTTGACGGACGAAAATTTCCCTACATGAGTCATCACTTTTCTGCTCCTCCCATGTCGCGAAGGATATTGTAGGTCGTTTTTTAATTCCAATTTGGATAAACCAGTCGATATTTCGATGTATCTGGTTAGGTAGGACATTCATTTTGATAGTGTCGTTAATTTTTATGAGCAATACGGTCTGAATTTGGTGAATTTGATTGAAACTGTGTAGAGAGCAAGGAGAGAACAAATGGTTAACTAGTTAGCGATTTTTTCGCCGTTGTATTGCTTATCCTACTAAACGTAGCGGTAAATTTAAATAGTAATGTTCGTATTTGTATAAAATATTCTGAGGAATGATCATTTTGGGTATTATTTTACGAAATCTAACTCAAAGAGGTTCAACCCAAAACGTAGTATCTGGAATGGAGGTTTCTTGTTTTACTGGATAAAACTAGTAAAATAATATTACTTGTGTGCGTGTGAATATTTGAGGATATACAGAATGATTCATAATGAAGTGTACAAATAAGAAACATACCTGTCATAATAAGAATAAATCCTTGAGAAATGTGGAATTCATATTCTCCTGGTGCTTCCAAGAATATTCGAATGAGATGATATACTGAAACATTCCTCTCAGAATAATCATGGTATTTTTTTATCTCTTGGAGCGCACGAAAGGAAATTCCTTTTATAATGTTCAACTGTGTGTATACCTCTATAAAACCCATATACCTTTACCTATAAATATATAATACATCTACTTACCTATGAAGTATATATAGAGGCAGGACTGAAAAATATGTCAAAAATACTAAATCATGATAGACGGGGTGGCAACGAAATAATTGGCCAATGCGTTATTCATTTGTTTTGAGATTTTGATCGAAGATATGTACAGGGTGGCACTGAAATAAGGGATTAAAATGAAATTTGAGGTTAGACCCCTTTTTTCCATCCAAATTTCTACACTGTAGCAAATCTGACGTCACCTCTGTTGAAATTTCCATGCAGTAGGCACAATATCACGCGGAGTTCAATCATTCAAATTGTTATAAAGTGGCGTACTTGATTTTTTTCTCGAATTTTGTTCAATTTTTGGGATGAAATTTCTCGATAAATTTAGAATAAGAATTAGAAAAAATCTGATATTATGGGAATATTCCTTAGACTGATGTATCATTCGATGTGCTGAATATGTGCACTTATTTTGAAAACACCTTGAATATTGCTATAAAACTAAAATTTGTTATGACAAGAAAAAGATATTGAATATAATTTCCGGTTTAACAGGAAATAGACCAGGATATGTGGTGAATTTCGAATATGATAGAACAATGTAAATATTTTTATGCACGACCGGGCGTAAGGCACTTTATATCTTCCGGATTCGCGGGCGTAAAGTAGCACTTATTTAGCGCCCTAGAGCAATTTCACTGTTTGTCAAGCATTTACCTGTAGATAATCTGACTTTTTCAAACTTATAAATGTTAATTTCGAAAAAGTACCATTATCTCCAAGGACCTAGGTAGATAATCTGAATGGACGTTTCAAGATTAGTACTACTATACTAATATACTTATACAGGGTGGGCCACTAGTAACGCCTCGGTCTCTAGAAGGCTAACCACTTATCTTCTTGGAATTCTTCCTCTCTAGGAAGTTGCATGTCAACATAGGCTACCATTTAAAATTATTTCGAAACATACAGGGTGTCCCCAAAAACCATAAAACACTCTGAAGTTGAACTGTTTTCTATCGAACACCCTATATATTATTTCATTTTGAGATTCTCCCTGATGAGCTGATTTCAACGACCCATCATACTTGGGGTCTAGCAGTTATAATTACTGAAATATAGGGTGTGAAAAATCGAGATTTTCCAAGTTCAAGAATTTTTTGTGTCGAAACTATTCATAATTGGTCAAAACGGCTTACATGTCCCTATCTCAACTTTTGATTAACTATCTACTGATATTTAATTGGGACATATACCGGGTGATCAAGATTCTGAATTCTGCACCACCCTGTATTATTTGTTTCAATTAAATGTCAGTAGATAGTCGATCAAAAGTTGAGATAGGGACATGTGAGCCGTTTTGACCAATTATGAATGGTTTAGACACAAAAAATTCTTGAACTTGGAAAATCTCGATTTTTCACACCCTATATCTCAGTAATTGTAACTGCTAGACCCCAAGTATGATGGATTGTTGAAATCAGCTCACTAGGGAGAATCTCAAAATGAAATAATATATAGGGTGTTCGATTGAAAAAAGTTCAACTTCAGTGTTTTATGGTTTTTGGGGACACCCTGTATGTTTCGAAATAATTTCAAATGGTAGCCTATGTTGACATGCAACTTCCTAGAGAGGAAGAATTCCAAGAAGATAAGTGGTTAGCCTTCTAGAGACCGAGGCGTTACTGGTGGCCCACCCTGTAGATTAATATTTGAAGTTGAATAGTTTCAACATGTGGACTCTTTTTACAGAAATTGAATGAATATGCATATTGTTAAATTGAACTTTGCAAATGGAAATTATTCATTATTTTTTTTAGAATAGACCCCTCTAACAGAGCATCGGGAATTTTAATCGATTGTAATATTTTCATATTAGCAATTTGTTTGGCCTTATTGGTATTTTATTGTGAATTTTTGTTTATCTGTAGGTTACAAAAAATAATATAATGCATATATTGATGATTTATTCAAATTTATTCAAATAACTACTCAATTTGACTAGCATATATAATATTATATACTTATATCAATATAATTACATTATGATACAACAATATATAACAACTATATAACTGTACAGATTATTAAAACAGTTACACATTGGCACAATTAAATATTCAAAAACATAACAAAACCCAATAGGTAACAATATAGTTAAGTATAAACAATAAATTCAGACTTTGTAAATATCTAGAAGCTATTGTAAAAAATAAACAATATTTCAACAAAATATTGCTTTCAGAAGACCTCATATAATTATAATAAGTATATCTTAGATATAAATAATCAATCACATGTGCTCAAATATTATTGAAATTGAAAAAATAATTCTCAAACTCAGTTCCTCACATGCCAAAAGTTTCCAGAATATTGGAGCAGATATTTTTTATCTGCTGATGAGAGCCTGGATGGCTTATGAGATCATTTAACATTATGTGCCCTTTCTCTTCTTGAAGCATCTTGCAGTACCTCTTTGCTGAAATTAATAAACATGGATTATACAGGGTGGGGCATAAATTAGTGCGTCGGAGCTCAGTTCTATGATAGCTATATACTTGATTCCAAAACGAATGTGAATGAGACAACAAAGTCCATAACTAGAAATTATTGCCGCATATACAGGGGACACCGGAAAAAATCTGGAGCATCAGGATAACTTTTTTTAAATGGAATGCCCTATACAGGGAGTTCCTTAATAACATGCTAATATTCAAGGGGGCGATTCTTGGACCCATTTCGAGAATAAAACTTCATATGAACGTATGTCGTGAACGTCCTAACTTTTGAGATACAGGGTATCCAATAAGTTGAAAATATGCATAGATTATTTTTTGTCCACCCTATATAGCTTTCTGTGATGAAAAATTCGGTCTGCTAGTGACTGAAATGGTGCAAAAATTTCAAAATGTCACACACTGTAGTTATCCAGTAATTGATGTCCTGGATGGAGTACCTACTCAGCTTAGCATTTTTAAATCTGGACTCGTTTTTCCGTTTTTTATCGAAAACAGAGCGTTATATCGAGTATCAACAGGGGGATCTTTTTTTGTATATAATTGAATGGCCTTTCATAGGATTGTATGAAATTTGGAAAATTTCCTTCGTTGCTCACTTTCAAGTGAAATATTAACAATAATATCCCCCAAACGGCGCCACTGGTAGAGAAAATGAAAATTTATGTACATCAGAAAATGCACCTTGATGTATAGAAGACATGTACCAAATTTGGTAAAGATGTCTACAATATTATCTCAGTTATTATCAAAAAACTGTTTTTTTTGTCAAAACTTTATCGCCTTGTATCTCTAAAGTTAAGACTTTTAAGACATACGTTCATAGGGAGTTTTCATCTTAAAATGAGTCAGAGAATCACCCCCTTAAATATTAGCATGTCTTCAAGAAATACCCTGTATATTAGCACATTTTTCGAAGCACCCCTGTGACCTCCATCCACCTCTATAATTTTCTCGAATATGTATATCTCGATAATTTCAAAGTTACATACCGAAAAAAATCACTGCAGTCACAATTATGTTTTTAGAGAATAATCATAATATCTTTAGATGGAAACATGTGTGATATATTTGTAGAATTTTCATGTCCTCTAATTATACAGGGTGGCTAAAAATGATTTTTCAATTCAGAACTTTTGGAAGTGATTTTTCTCGAGTTTTTCAAATGGAACACCCCATATATTTTTAGGCCATTTGGTGTAAAATCGAAACATGAACATCTTTCATCCCAACATCCATATAGATATTCGTAATCATTTTTGAATTATTGAACTTCGAAAATTATAGGTCGACCATTTTAATCCTTACACATTCTCATCAGTTATTAAAACATCAAAAGTCCGATTAATAATTTACTAAACTTATTTTTTTACCGAAATAATTGAAACCAGAATTCTAGGACTTTTCAAGTGGAAAGCGTATAATACATCAGTCTGGATAAAAACTAGATAAAAGATGAAAAAGTAGGGTTATGATGGTGGAAAAACATACAATCAAAGACCATAAACATAAGGTTCAAAGAACATCTTGCACATATTCATAACACAGACATCGAGACGAGTTGAAAATGTAAGAAAATAAGATGCATATGAATTTGAAAGCCTAGAAATGGTCAAGAATAATAATGAAATAAGAGTTATAAATGAAGATAAACACCTAGTCCATATTGCCCTCAGTATAATTTAGTGGTTTGTAATTATAATGAGCAATGAGCTTGTCAACTCAACCATGGCCACAGATTCCATGGCAGACATCGATTGCGCATCAATCAGTGTCTTTCATGGTCAGTTGATTATACCTGGTATAAGGCAGCATTTTGGAACAGAATATTCAGCTTTAATCTCGTCTTGGAGATTCTAATATTATGTATACTAATATCATAAAGAGGAAAGATTTAAGAGTTTATTTGTTTGTTTGTATGTATTGAATAGTCTCCGAGACTACTGGATCGATTTGCCTGAAACTGCGAGGAAGGTAGCTTAGAACCAGGAGAAGGTCATGGTACCGGGATACTTTTTATCCCGGTACCATTAGGAAATTTAAGATGACGGATCTAATATATCTGACGAGTTTTGTAATTATGGTCCGATTCTATTCAAAATTGGTATCTGGGGTTTTTTCGGGGTCGGAGATTATGATTCTTTCGTCAGAATTTGCAAATTCTGACGGTATTAGTAAATTAAAGATGGCGGAACCAATATGGCGGACGAGTTTTGTAATTATAATCCGATTCTTTTCAAAATTGTTACCTAGGGATTTTCGTGATCGGGGATTATGATTCCTTCGTCAAAATTAAGAAATTCGAGATGGCGCCGGATCCAAAATGCCGGATTTTGTAATTAGGATGTTAGCATCTAGCAACTAGATGCGCTACTGCTCAGTGGAATGTGCTTAGATCAGAGCCTATGACAGACGTGTGTGAAGACTGGTTCATATATTATTCGGCAGGCAGCCGAGTTGTGAGCAAGTGTAACCCTTGTCCATGTCATTTGTGCTCGTGTTTGTTATATTATGGCCAACTTTATTCAAATTTGGTATCTGGTGGTTCTCGGGGTCGGAGATTATGATTATTTCGTCAAAATTAGGAAGTTCAAGATGGCGGACCCAATATGGCGGACGAGTATTGTAATTATGATCCAACTCTCTTCAAAATTGTTACCTGGGTGTTTTCGAGGTTGGAGATTGATTCTTTTGAAATTCAAGACGGTGGAACCAATATACCGGACGAGTTTTAAAATTATATACCGAATCTATTCAAAATTTGTAAGTGGGCGTTTTAGGGATCAGTAATTATGATTTCTTCGTCAAAAAAATTCAAGATTTCTGATCACCCTGTATCTATTCCAATTAAATTTCAGTAGATAGTGAATCAAACGTTGAGATAGGGACATGTGAGCCGTTTCGACCAATAATGGATAGTTCTGACACAAAAAAATCCCAAATTTGAAAATTTTCCATTCTGAACACCCTATATCTCTGTAATCGGTTCCGCTAGACCCCAAGTGTGATGCATTGATGGAATCAGCTATTAAGGAAAAATATAAAAATGCAATAATATACAGGGTGTCCCATTTAAAAACACCCATCATCAGCCGATATCTTGGAATGTGAACATCCTATAGATATGAAAATATTTTTAGGTGATAGCTCTCATAAAATTCTATAACTGTTTGGCTAATATCGAAGGAGAACACACTATTGACTCACCCTGTATATTTTGTTTTCTGTTATCACAACAATAATTTTCAAATATTTTTAAAAGTCGCATTTGTTTTGAGAAAAGATCTACCTACTAACTCAATTTGTTTGGGTGATTGGTAATTAGGGTTCTAGTCAGTGCATTGTGGAATTATTAGAATTTTATTATATTATCCTACTCATTAACCATAACTTATGTTAGGATTAGGTACTCGTTAATGATATTTGATAGATAAATGGAAGCTACTGAACTTTCTACCTGGGGCTGTCTAAATGTCCTAAGACCCTAATATTTTTCTTCATTCTGAAATTCTCTAGATGTAGTAGGTACTATGAAAAAAAAGGAACAGAATGAAAGGTGACGCAGATGGTAATGAAAAAATAATCGAAATAAATACCTATGTTAATAAATAATATTAGGCCTAAGCTATATGGCGATAAAGAACTGCATAATACACCTTGAACACTTATTGATGAATCCATATATCTACTACTTTATACACACAGGGTAATTCATTAGGAATGGGAAATCTCTGAACTACAGATAGTAAACACCCAAATATGAAGATTTAGCCCAAAATGCCTCATAAAAATATTGCTGGTTTAAGAGATACAGGGTGGTTAAGGATAAGATTTTATTTCAACAAACAGAAGCCAGCCGCACATTTGTTTATTTGTTGTTCCGTTCTCTACCAAGTGCTGCCTATCCTTTGCACTTCGTTTCACTTTACTGATGAGGGCCGAAAGCCCGAAACACGTGTATATACGGTTATCTCTTTGTGAGGGCTATGTTCAATAATCTCTTCCTAGTTACTTTACAATTTCCTCGATAATATTTGCATCTTATCTATATACATAAATTTTATCGATCTCAATTCAAATCATTATACATTACAAAGGTATAGTATGCCATGGACAATTGACGACCTTTGTGTGTAACTCCATTTGAAAGTTTTGATTAGAAGTACGTTCGGAATATGACGAAGCGTATGATATCATTAGAATTCAAATTTTATATTATTGTTTTTTGTTTTATAATAGTGATAATTTGGATTGCACAGATTTTATCGGTATATCGACGCCAAAGGATGCAAGTTGAAGCCAATTTATTTTACCTCCCACGGGAGTTAATATTGTTTTCCTCCCGTGGGAGTAAAATTAACAACTTTGTTTCCTTGAATGAGGGAGCAAACGCTTACTTTCAATTCAGTGAGTAGATAAAAAAACTTGATCTCTTAAGAATCAAATAGATTGATATCAGACCTGTGGATGTCGGTTTTATGGGTGCAATGCACGGGTGACCCCAATGCACTCGCCGCCCCTGGTTAATTAATACATAAGTTCTATCAATTTTTTTTTGTAAAAATTATTTGAATACATTCGTTCTGAACACCCGGTATTTCTATAAAAACCTTTTTATACGTAAAAAATTACGCCCTCTTCCAATTTCGACGAAATAAATAGGAGTATATGTGAACATTATGAGATTACCGTGAGCAGCATAGGCATCAAACAATAACCAGTACTTCTCGAATTATCTTAAAAACAAATAATTTAATCGGAATTTTACAAGAGACAAAAAATACTCAAGAATGATTGAACCCTTGAAGAAAAATAGATAGAAAGTCATTAGCGCACGTACAAAAAAAATATGGGGGTAAGTGTGTACTTGACCCCCAGTACTTTGAATATTTGACAGTTATTTTCTGTTTTGTTTTCCTCACACGATGTAACTCTTTGTGCTGAAGTAATGTACCAATTTTGAGATTAATATCTTATTGAATACGCGAGTAATTAAAAAAAAACAGTTTTTAATTTCCAACTTTGACCCTGTATATCGAATATGAACGGCTAAAATGAAAAATGGTATTAAGAAACTCATATTGTTTTTGTTCAAGGAATATATGGTTAATGGATTGACCTTCTTTTAGCGGACACAGTTTAAAAAAACACTCACGATTCTTGGTGCACACGTGATGTATGGCCCACACGGCCCACAGCTGCACCTGGTAGTCCATTCCGACCGACAGCAGCGAAAAGAACGGCTTGAAGCTCCTGTAGGCCACCATCTCACTGGCGGGCGTTTTCCATGCGGCCACCGCCTTCTCCAATTCCATCAGCATGTCGCGTCTGTTGCGGCACGAGATCTTCCACCCCTGAGAGGGAGAGAAAATATACAGGGTATTCCCAAACTTCCCTGACAAAATGAAAGGAGAGAATCTTCAATGAATTTCAAGACGAAAATGTAGAATAGTTTTTTTTCGAATGTCGCTTAGTTTTCAAAATACAAGGTGTTTAACTTTTGTTGAACGGATTGAAGCTCCTGTAGGCCACTATATCACTGGCAGGCGTTTTCCACGCGGCCACCGCCTTCTCCAATTCCATCAGCATGTCGCGTCTGTTGCGGCACGAGATCTTCCACCCCTGAGAGGGCGAGAAAATATACAGGGTGTTCCCAAACTTCTCTGACAAAATGAAAGGAGAGAATCCTCAATTGATTTCAAGACGAAAATGTAGAATAGTTTTTTTTAGAATGTCGCTTAGTTTTCAAAATACAAGGTGTTCAACTTCTGTAGAACGGGTTGAAGCTCTTGTAGGCCACTATATCACTGGCAGGCGTTTTCCACGCGGCCACCGCCTTCTCCAATTCCATCAGCATATCGCGTCTGTTGCGGCACGAGATCTTCCACCCCTGAGAGAAAGAGAAAATATACAGGGTGTTACCAAACTTCCCTGACAAAATGAAAGGAGAGAATCTTCAATGAATTTCAAGACGAAAATGTAGAATAGTTTTTTTTCGAATGTCGCTTAGTTTTCAAAATACAAGGTGTTCAACTTTTGTTGAACGGCTTGAAGCTCCTGTAGGCCACTATATCACTGGCAGGCGTTTTCCACGCGGCCACCGCCTTCTCCAATTCCATCAGCATGTCGCGTCTGTTGCGGCACGAGATCTTCCACCCCTGAGAGGGAGAGAAAATATACAGGGTGTTCCCAAACTTCCCTGACAAAATGAAAGGATAGAATCCTCAATGAATTTTAAGACGAAAATGTAGAATAGTTTTTTTTCGAATGTCGCTTAGTTTTCAAAATACAAGGTGTTCAACTTTTGTTGAACGGCTCGAAGCTCCTGTAGGCCATTATATCGCTAGCAGGCGTTTTCAATGCGGCCACCGCCTTCTCCAATTCCATCAGCATGTCGCGTCTGTTGCGGCACGAGATCTTCCACCCCTGAGAGGGAGAGAAAATATACAGGGTGTTACCAAACTTCTCTGACAAAATGAAAGGAGAGAATCCTCAATTAATTTCAAGACGAAAATGTAGAATAGTTTTTTATCGAATGACGCTTAGTTTTCAGAATACAAGGTGTTTATCTTTTGTTGAACGGACTGAAGCTCCTGTAGGTCACTATATCACTGGCAGGCGTCTTCCAAACGCCACCGCCTTCTCCAATTCCATCAGCATGTCGCGTTTGTTGCGGCACGAGATCTTCCACTTCTAATAGAAAAAGAAAATATACAGGGTGTTACCAAACTTCTCCGACAAAATGAAAGGAGAGAATCCTCAATTGATTTCAAGACGAAAATGTAGAATAGTTTTTTCACGAATGTCGCTTAGTTTCCAAAATACAAGGTGTCCCAAAATGGGACAGTGTACACACCTGGTCGCCGTCGGAGGCGAGATGGGCGACGATGCCGGCGGCGAAGTAGCCGACGTCGATGTTGTCGGAGGCGAGCAGGTGACAGAGTTCGTCCATGAGGGGATCCATCATGAGGTGGCAGCGCAAAGGCGACACTTCGGCGATGTTGTTCAGGAGACCTGCGAGGAATGCGCATCGTTGATTTGTCATTCAACTTGACCATTACATTGATGAAATAAGTCTCTGGTGTACGCACTTCAATTCTTTACTGTTTTACAATTCCTTGATTTTCGCCTACTTCGATAAACATAACATGGCGTGGGTGAATCTCGCTAAGTTTAGTCTGATGCCGTACCAAAATTACAGGCATCGATTTTTCACCGGGAAGATCAAGTTTCGAAATAATTTCAAATCGAATATCACGTGACTTAATTTGATATGTGACAATCACTTGTGATCACCCTGTATCTGTTCTGATTGAATATCAGTGAATAGTAAATCAAAAGTTGAGATAGGGACATGTGAGCCGTTTTGGCAGATAATGAATAGTTTTGACACAAACAAATCTTAAAGTTGAAAAATCTCGATTTTTGAACACCCTATATCTCTGTAATCATTTCCGATAGACCCCAAGTGTGACGTATCGATGAAATCAGCTCTTCAGGGAGAATCTAAAAATGCAATAAAATACAGGGTATTCCATTTGAAATAACAAAGTTTTTACTACTTCTTGCGACACTGCATTGCTGAAAATATTTTGAATGAAGAGAGCGCATTCTAAAACATAAGACTGCCTATTTTCAAGGATGTCTCCCGACTGATTCTCGATATAGAGATAGTGTAAGCTCGTGGTGACATACCCTGTATATAACAGTTAATTATAAGTAGGATTAAACAAGTATCTTACCTAACACCTTGGTTTCTATAGCCGAATTGTCTTTGAAGGTTTTGAGAACGTTGAAAAATAAATGGGCACCTTTTTGTTCCAGAAACACTTGACAAGTGGCAGAACTTTCATCTGTCAAATTCCAAAGTGCGCTCAGGGTGAATTTCAGGGTTATATCAGGTACCTTGGTGTCCACTCTAGTTTGAACCATTGTCAGCAGTTTCTTCATGTATTCAGGCCTGGCTCCTAGTTCTGAAGTCTCCTCTGTTGATACCTTGAAAAGTTTCCAAGAACCCTTGTTGAAAAAATCACGTTTTACTGCTGAATAAACAATTCTCCTAGTTCATTATGATTATTGATTATCAGAATTAATAAGGTGTGAACATATTAACTTTTGACTGGCTGGGATTTTTTTTATATTTTGTTTGCTCCAATAGTAACTGTGAGACCACTGATCATCGTTTTGGAATTGTATCATCCATTATAGGACGATGAAAATAATGAATTAAAATACATGGACTTGCAGACATTCTCAAGGTCAATAACTCCGTAACGACGTTCGATAGACATTTTTTTTATATAGCGTACTAACATTAATTTGGGTCACTCTATCAACCCTGCAACTACCATGATGTTATTTGTTGAAAATAGCCTTTTAACTTGTCTCAAAGTCAGCTTTCCGCTTTTATTGCCAATAGGAGCACTCCGGTAGGCTACTACGTCTCCATTTTTCAAAATTTCCCGATTTCCACCACAGATTCGTTCATAACGACATCAAATTAGTCTATGTGAATTTTTTCAGATTTTTAATGAGCCAAATAAAAATTTTCATTTTCCCACCTGATGAGACTTCCGTACGATATAGTCACCGAGCCATCTTCGGACGACCGAAAGTGCCAGAAAACGGCGGGAATCAACGAGAATTATCGGTATTACAGTAGAAAATGACACGTTGAATCGAATGAGACCATGATCAGCCCGATAGGACAGATAGTTTTCGAGATATCGGCGCTCAAAGTCATCTATTCGCTTTTATTGCCAATAGAAGCACTCCGGCAGGCTACTACGTCTCTATTTTTCAAAATTTCCCGATTTATACTACAGATTCGTTCATAACGACATTGAATTAGTCTATCTGAATTTTTTAAGATTTTTAATAGAACAAATAAAAATTTTCAAATTCCCGCCCGAGACTTCAGTACGATATAGTCACCGAGCCATCTTCGGACGGCCGAAAGTGCCAGAAAACAGAGGAAATCCACGCGAATTATGGCTTTTTCAGTAGAAAATAGCACGCTGAATCGAATGAGACCATGATCAGCCCGATAGGACAAATAGTTTTCGAGATATCGGCGCTCAAAGTCATCTATTCGCTTTTATTGCCGATAGAAGCACTCCGGTAGGCTACTACGTCTCCATTTTTCAAAATTTCCCGATTTCCACTACAGATTCGTTCATTTCGACATCAAATTAGTCTAATTGAATTTTTTCACATTTTTAATAGGCCAAATAAAAATTTTCATTTTCCCACCTGAGACTTCAGTACGATATAGTCACCGAGCCATCTTCGGACGGCCGAAAGTGCCAGAAAACGGCAGAAATCCACGTGAATGATCACTTTTCCAGTAGAAAATGACACGCTGAATCGAATGAGACCACGATCAGCCCGATAGGACAGATAGTTTTCGAGATATCGGCGATCAAAGTCATCTATTCGCTTTAATTGCCAATAGAAGCACTCCGGTAGGCTACTACGTCTCCATTTTTCAAAATTTCCCGATTTCCACCACAGATTCGTTCATTTCGACATCAAATTAGTCTATCTGAATTTTTTCAGATTTTTAATAGAACAAATAAAAATTTTCATTTTCCCGCCCGAGACTTCAGTAAGATATAGTCACCGAGCCATCTTCGGACGGCCGAAAGTGCCAGAAAACGGCGGAAATCCACGCGAATTATCGCTTTTCTAGTAGAAAATGACACGCTGAATCGAATGAGACCACGATCAGCCCGATAGGACAGATAGTTTTCGAGATATCGGCGCTCAAAGTCAGCTATTCGCTTTTATTGCCAATAGAAGCAATCCGGTAGGCTACTACGTCTCCATTTTTCAAAATTTCCCGATTTCCACCACAGATTCGTTCATTTCGACATCAAATTAGTCTATCTGAATTTTTTCAGATTTTTAATAAAACAAATAAAAATTTTCATTTTCCCGTCCGAGACTTCAGTAAGATATAGTCACCGAGCCATCTTCGGACGGCCGAAAGTGCCAGAAAACGGCGCAAATCCACGCGAATTATTGCTTTTCCAGTAGGAAATGACACGCTGAATCGAATGAGACCACGATCAGCCCGATAGGATAGATATTTTTCGATATATCGGCGCTCAAAGTCAGCTATTCGCTTTTATTGCCAATAGAAGCAATCCGGTAGGCTACTACGTCTCCATTTTTCAAAATTTCCCGATTTCCACTACAGATTCGTTCATTTCGACACCGAATTAGTCAATGTGAATATTTTCAGATTTTTAATAGGCCAAATGAAAATTTTCATTTTCCCACCTGAGAGTTGAGTACGATTTAGTCACCAAGCCATCTTCGGAAAGCCGAAAGTGCCAGAAAACGGCAGAAATCCACGTGAATGATCACTTTTCCAGTAGAAAATGACACGCTGAATCGAATGAGACCACGATCAGCCCGATAGGACAGATAGTTTTCGAGATATTGGCGCTCAAAGTCAGCTATTCGCTTTTATTGCCAATAGAAGCAATCCGGTAGGCTACGACGTCTCCATTTTTCCCGATTTCCACCACAGATTCGTTCATTTCGACATCAAATTAGTCTATCTGAACTTTTTCAGATTTTTAATAGAACAAATAAAAATTTTCATTTTCCCGCCCGAGACTTCAGTAAGATATAGTCACCGAGCCATCTTCGGACGGCCGAAAGTGCCAGAAAACGGCGGAAATCCACGCGAATTATCGCTTTTCTAGTAGAAAATGACACGCTGAATCGAATGAGACCACGATCAGCCCGATAGGACAGATAGTTTTCGAGATATCGGCGCTCAAAGTCAGCTATTCGCTTTTATTGCCAATAGAAGCAATCCGGTAGGCTACTACGTCTCCATTTTTCAAAATTTCCCGATTTCCACCACAGATTCGTTCATTTCGACATCGAATTAGTCTATCTGAATTTTTTCAGATTTTTAATAGGACAAATAACAATTTTCATTTTCTTGCCCGAGACTTCAGTAAGATATTGTCACCGAGCCATCTTCGGACGGCCGAAAGTGCCAGAAAACGGCGGAAATCCACGCGAATTATCGCTTTTCTAGTAGAAAATGACACGCTGAATCGAATGAGACCACGATCAGCCCGATAGGATAGATAGTTTTCGAGATATCGGCGCTCAAAGTCAGCTATTCGCTTTTATTGCCAATAGAAGCAATCCGGTAGGCTACTACGTCTCCATTTTTCAAAATTTCCCGATTTCCACCACAGATTCGTTCATTTCGACATCAAATTAGTCTATCTGAATTTTTTCAGATTTTTAATAGAACAAATAAAAATTTTCATTTTCCCGCCCGAGACTTCAGTAAGATATAGTCACCGAGCCATCTTCGGACGGCCGAAAGTGCCAGAAAACGGCAGAAATCCACGCGAATAATCGCTTTTCTAGTAGAAAATGACACGCTGAATCGAATGAGACCACGATCAGCCCGATAGGATAGATAGTTTTCGAGATATCGGCGCTCAAAGTCAGCTATTCGCTTTTATTGCCAATAGAAGCAATCCGGTAGGCTACTACGTCTCCATTTTTCAAAATTTCCCGATTTCCACCACAGATTCGTTCATTTCGACATCAAATTAGTCTATCTGAATTTTTTCAGATTTTTAATAGAACAAATAAAAATTTTCATTTTCTTGCCCGAGACTTCAGTAAGATATTGTCACCGAGCCATCTTCGGACGGCCGAAAGTGCCAGAAAACGGCGGAAATCCACGCGAATTATCGCTTTTCTAGTAGAAAATGACACGCTGAATCGAATGAGACCACGATCAGCCCGATAGGATAGATAGTTTTCGAGATATCGGCGCTCAAAGTCAGCTATTCGCTTTTATTGCCAATAGAAGCAATCCAGTAGGCTACTACGTCTCCATTTTTCAAAATTTCCCGATTTCCACCACAGATTCGTTCATTTCGACATCAAATTAGTCTATCTGAATTTTTTCAGATTTTTAATAGAACAAATAAAAATTTTCATTTTCCCGCCCGAGACTTCAGTAAGATATAGTCACCGAGCCATCTTCGGACGGCCGAAAGTGCCAGAAAACGGCGCAAATCCACGCGAATTATTGCTTTTCTAGTAGAAAATGACACGCTGAATCGAATGAGACCACGATCAGCCCGATAGGATAGATAGTTTTCGAGATATCGGCGCTCAAAGTCAGCTATTCGCTTTTATTGCCAATAGAAGCAATCCGGTAGGCTACTACGTCTCCATTTTTCAAAATTTCCCGATTTCCACCACAGATTCGTTCATTTCGACATCAAATTAGTCTATCTGAATTTTTTCAGATTTTTAATAGAACAAATAAAAATTTTCATTTTCTTGCCCGAGACTTCAGTAAGATATTGTCACCGAGCCATCTTCGGACGGCCGAAAGTGCCAGAAAACGGCGGAAATCCACGCGAATTATCGCTTTTCTAGTAGAAAATGACACGCTGAATCGAATGAGACCACGATCAGCCCGATAGGATAGATAGTTTTCGAGATATCGGCGCTCAAAGTCAGCTATTCGCTTTTATTGCCAATAGAAGCAATCCAGTAGGCTACTACGTCTCCATTTTTCAAAATTTCCCGATTTTCACCACAGATTCGTTCATTTCGACATCAAATTAGTCTATCTGAATTTTTTCAGATTTTTAATAGAACAAATAAAAATTTTCATTTTCCCGCCCGAGACTTCAGTAAGATATAGTCACCGAGCCATCTTCGGACGGCCGAAAGTGCCAGAAAACGGCGCAAATCCACGCGAATTATTGCTTTTCTAGTAGAAAATGACACGCTGAATCGAATGAGACCACGATCAGCCCGATAGGATAGATAGTTTTCGAGATATCGGCGCTCAAAGTCAGCTATTCGCTTTTATTGCCAATAGAAGCAATCCGGTAGGCTACTACGTCTCCATTTTTCAAAATTTCCCGATTTCCACCACAGATTCGTTCATTTCGACATCAAATTAGTCTATCTGAATTTTTTCAGATTTT